GAAAGTTGTTAACAAGATTAGAAATTGTCTGTTTATTGAGTCTTTGTTTGACCAAATTAAATATGAAAAATATTTGTATTAAAAAAAATGCAAAAATCTCAAAAGCCAAGCTATCATTTTAATATAAATATGAGTAAAGTTAAGATATAGAGTACATACTTTAGTATTAATTAATTTATTTAAAATACATGTTTTCTAACCGACATAATCGCTAGAGTCGTAGCGTTAAAAAAAAATGTTATATCGTAAAATTCGTATGGTTTTACTATTAGAGATGTTCACGAGGTGAAGACATGGACGAGAGTTTTTCCCATTAGTGTCTCCGCCACCTATTTCAATCCTCATCCCCACAAAATTCCTGTTCTCGGTCTCGTTTAGTTAACGTAGAGAAATATTTCCCCACTAGCTTCCTCCACTCTATTTGGGACAGGTTTTCATGGGAACCCGGTCCTGCAAGTTAAATAAACATCTCTACGCACTATTAGAGATGTCCACGGGGCGAAAACAGGGACAGAGAAGTCGTCCTCCTCCTAGTCCTCGCCACCTATTTCAATCTTTATCCCCATGAGAAATATCTCCTTACTTGCTTCCTCCACTCTATTTGGGGCAGGTTTTCATGGGACCCTGACTCCGCAAGTTAAATAAACATCTCTACTCACTATTAGAGATGTCCACGAGGCAAAGACAGGGATAGAGAAGCCTTCCCCGTCACCGTCCTTGCCACCTATTTCAATCTTTATCCCCACAAAACCCCTGTTCTCGATCCCGTTTAGCTAACATAGAGAAATATCTCCCTACTCGCTTCCTCCACTCCATTTGGGGCAGGTTTGCACGGGACTCCCGCCCTACAGGTTGAATAAACATCTATTCTCACTAGGTTAGAAACATATGATAAATTTTAATTTTAAAAATTAATAATGGACCTACGACACCGACCTTAGTTTCTTTATCAGCTCGATGTTTGAAATTCACTTCCCGTGCTTTTTAAAAAAAAAAAAAACTAAAAACGATATAATACAAAAGAGTATAGAGTAAAGACAAATACATTGGGTTATAGATTGGTGAAGGAGAAGAGAAGAATGGAAATGAATGAAATTTGTCAATGATTGAGAAACATAATAAGAAAATTAGATTTAATTGAAGAATAATAAATAAAAATTTAAGAATTAAGAATTTATTTTTAAAAAATATTGAGTGTAGTTTGAAAGGGAGGCAATGTTTCAAAGTTTGAACCAGGAAATGAGGGAGTTTGATATCATCATTTCTAAGCCTGTCATTTCAATTATTATTACAACATTATTTCTTCATCAATTTTTCTATTTTTTCTAATTTTGTTTTTTTTTAAATATTAAAAATTAGAATATGTAAAAGCATGTGGATGTTAAATCACACCAATATTTTAAGAATCAAGTATGACGGACTAATGGACTTTCAGATATGACCATCGTTTTTCAGTTTAAATATTATTTTGGTCTCTTTACTTTCGGGTTTAATTCATTTTATCTCATATCCTTTCGAGTTTTGTATATTTTATGGACCAAATTTAATAACGAAAACTAGAAAGTTCCTAGTTCCTAGTAGAAAACTAGAAAGTTCCTTTCGGGTTTTGTATACTTTCGGGTTCATTTTATCTCATCAATTCCCTTTTCACATGGATCTACTCTGTAGTTCCTAGTATTTTTTATTTTATAAAGATTACGATTTGGGTAGAAATTCGTTAGAATGTTGAGCAAAGACTATGATAAGAAACAGTGCTCCAATGACTTGAAATGGAATTTGAGACAGTCACACTATTTTAAGCCACCGCCACGCCACACTATTCTATGTCGTAATTTCGTCCAACATTTTAACAAATATTTACTGTTATGGTAGTTTTGAAACATTTATGTAAGGTAACCATATTGAAAAAGTAACCGAATCATTTATAAAGTTGATGATGATGTATCAATAGTTTCGTGCATTCAATAATTTGATATTATATCTAAAACGGGATCTTCATATGTGGAAGAAAGAGTAGGTGAAGACAAAGTAAGTCGAACCCCACAAAGCCATTGATTATTGCAATCATTTAGTGCCATACTTGAAAGTGGTATGAGCTTGAAATGGAAGAAAGATAATCACAGGTGGAGACAACCTTGGAGAAACTAAGGGACCAAACCACACAAGCTTTGACCAAAACATTAACTTTGTATTGTAGCAATAACGCCATGTTTCCCCCTACCCTTGCTTTTTGTCTCACCGTGTGAACTCTAGTCAATGTTTAGAGGCTGTTCTTGCATTTTTGTTTGTTCTTTTAAAATTTGCAAACGTTATCCCTATCCTTTCCTAAACGTTTTAAAATTATCTTAAAGTTTGGACTTGAAACGGTGTGGTAGTGATTTAGAACGATGTGATGATCCAAACGTTGCCTTAGGTCACTGTCACCGTGCTTGATATCCAAATTATAAAGGACTTCACAACTCTAATGATAATAGTTTTTGAACATTTATAGAAGGAATGTAACAGCCCAAGCCCAAGCCCACCGCTAGCATAAAGAACATTTCGTTCTCCTCCCCAACTGATGGGGAATCTCACAATCCACCCCCTTCGCGACCCAACGTCTATGTTGGCACTCGTTCTCTTCTCCAATCGATGTTGGACACCTCAATCCACCTCCCTTTTGAGCTAGTGTCTTTGCTAGCACATCACCCGATGCCTCGTTCTGATACCATTTGTAATAGCTCAAGTCCACTACTAGCAAATATTGTCCTTTTTGGGCTTTCCCTTATGGGTTTCCGCTCAAGATTTTAAAACGTGTCTACTAGAGAGAGGTTTCCACACTCTCATAAAGAATGTTTCGTTCTCCTCCCCAACCGACATGGAATCTCACAATCCACCCCCATTCGGTTCCCAGAGTCCTCGCTAGCACTCATTCCCTTCTCCAATCAATATGGAGCACCCCAATCCACCCCTCTTTGGAGCCCAACGTCCTTGCTGGCACATCACCCAGTGCCTATCTCTGATACCATTTGTAATAGTCCAAGCCCACCGCTAGTAGATATTGTTCTCTTTGGGCTTTCTCTCAAGGCTTTGAAACGCGTTTTTTAGGGAGAGGTTTCCACACCCATATCAAGAATGTTTCATTCTCCTCTCTAACCGACGTGGGATCTCGTTATCTTTTATAAAGTATAGAGATATTTTAGAAATAAATGACAAACTTTTCATAGTATTTTTTATAACTTAAAACTTTGTTTTCTTTTTCTTAAGAAAATGGAATACCTTTCTGGGTTTTCGAGGATGCAAGAAAGCCCCACAAATCCACAACCCTACAAAACTCTTTCCATCCTCAGGCTTCAGCACACAAACTGACACATTATGGAAGCATTATTCTCAATTTCTTATCACTACTTTTACTTTTGAACCACACAAACTCTCTCAAACAACTTAGAGGCAGAGAAGTTGGTTGTATCCCATTCAAAAAGGTAAAGAAAAAAGGAAGAAGGTTTAAACCTTTTAAAAAATTGCATCTTTGAACTGAGTTTGGCTTCAGTTTTTTCAGACGTGTTTGTTTTTGTTTGTGATTTCTTTCTTTACCCGAAAAGAAGTCTAAAATTTTGGCCGCATGATGGGGTTTTAATGTTTAAAGAAAAGGTAGTAATGGCTTCCAGTTTGAGCAATGTCTCCTCTCTGTCGGTAACCCTAATGCTGCCACCTACATTCAACAAGCGACGTCCATATCAACATGTTGGGTGTCTAGATTTTCTCTTTTTTTTTTTTTTTTTGGACTTTTTCATGAATACAGTTGATGTTGATCTCCAGCTTTGATCGGTCAAGCACCTCCCTAATGGTTGTAGAGTCATTTTTTTAATGATCATTTTCTTAGGAGTTTATGAAACTTTCTTCTTTTCCAAACATGGTCAGTGATCACTTGACATAATTCCGGTTTTTCGGTTAGTTTTGTTTCTCTTCGATGGTAAAGAGTCTAAGTCCACCGCTAGCAGATATTCTCCTCTTTGGACTTTCCCTTTCGAGCTTTCCCTCAAGGTTTTTAAAACGCGTCTGCTAGAGAGAGGTTTCCACACCCTTATAAAAAACATTTCGTTCTCCTCTCCAAACGATGTGGGATCTCACATTGACGTTGTTGAGTCAATTTTCACCCATAAGCTTTGGGAGGTGTATGCTTTTCATCTTTATTTCATCCACTATTTGTAAGTTTGTGCAATAAAGTTTAAATGGTTAACTCTATATTCACCCATTCATTTCATCAAATTGAACTCTAGACTAACTTAAGTCTTTGTAACATCTCAAGCTTGCTACTAGTAAATATTGTCCAATTTTGCCCGTTACGTATCGTTGTCAGTCTCACGATTTTAAAACGCATTTACTAGGTTGGGGTTTCCACACCCTTATAATAAGGAATGCTTTATTGCCCTCTCCAACCGATGTGGGATCTCACAAGTTAAGTCTACTTCTTGTACTTTTATTTAACCTCACTAAAGTTTTGACCAAATCAAGGCTTTTGTTCTGGATTTTCCAAGAAGTTTTAATCTTGAGCATGAGTGTTCTTTCAAAATAAGAAACAGTTTCATAGATGGTATGAGATTTGAATTATAAAAAGCGACGATTGTCGAGTCCTACCAAAAGAATGGAGGGTGGATTGTCGATTGGAGAGGGGAACGAATCCCAGCGAGGACGCTGGGCCACGAAGGACGGTGGATTGTGAGATCCCAAATCGGTTGGAGAGGGGAATAGAGCATTCGTTATAAGGGTGTGGAAATCTCTCCCTAGCAAACGCATTTTAAAAACCTTGAGAGAAAGTCCAGAAGAGAAACCCCAAAGAGGACAACATCTACTAGCGGTGGGCGCGGGCCATTACACTAGGAGTATTATTTCCCAACGTCATTCTAACCTTAAACATCTAGAGGATGAGTTGGAGGTTTTGGAAATCTTACAACATGATTCAAACGGTATAGGCAATTCATCGTCCTGAATGACATTATATGTGAAGAGTATGATAAGCAAGTTTTGATTTCAATTTTTCTCCAAACCTAGCTCGTTTCTAAAGAAGCGTATAATGCAGACACTATGACCATATATGTGTTTGAAATATATGAATGTGTTGTACAGAGAAGGAAAAATGACTGACCTGTTACAGGATACCCATTAGCTGGGGTTGTTCAATCAAATCACTTCACCAAGTCTGCTACGGTCGTGGGATAGCGGTACGTTATCTAGTTATAAATTTAGTCACGGCCCCTTCTTCTTTCGATCACTGGAGCAAAAATTACAAACCGAACGTGAATATACAGCTAGCATAAATAAAATGATTGAATTTACTTCGACGAACAAGCGTAGAGATTCGAGCTTTACATCCCTAAGTTCAAAGATTACCATGGCTCTAAATGAGGCTAATCTGAGCCTTGATCTGAATAAGCACTTGACCTTGAGATTTCTCCCTTCAATCTACCTTAATCAGTAGAGCAGAAATGGCTGATAGGCAAATAACATACAATCTCACCAGGCCTTCCCTTAACGTAAGTCAAATTTCGGATACTGAAGGCTCGAGAACGTTACCAGCTAGCTTCAGCTGACCATCTAATTCTGTCAGTATAAAGTATATTTTGTCAGAATCCGGGTGACAATTCGCTGAAGCTGAAAACTGATGAATTCTCCCTTCCAATTCGATCCAACTTGACCCGGGATATTTCTTTTCTACTCCGTTCTCTTTCATCATTGCTCGGATATGAGCAACCTTCATCCAGTGTTTTTCTTCAGCATACATGCTCACCAAAAGATTGTAATGTCCACTGTTCTTGGGCTCCAAAACCGTCAACTGTTGAACAGCATCTTTCGCAATCTCCGAGTTCCCATGAAGCTTGCATCCATTCAACAAAGCTCCCCAAATGATAGAGTTCGGTTCAAATTCCATACCGTTAATCAATTCTAAAGCTTCATCGAGCAATCCTGCTTTACTCAACATATCAACCATGCAACCATAGTGTTCAACTTCGGGACGGATTCCATAATCACGAATCATGCTCGAGAATCTACTTCTGCCTTCTATAACTAATCCAGCATGTGTGCAAGCGCTTAATATGCTAATAAAGGTAACACCATTGGGCATGATCTTCTCCCTCTCCATGATAACAAACATCCTCAGCGCCTTCTCCGCATAACCATGAACAGCGAGCCCTTCGATTACAGCATTCCAGCAATATAAATTTTTATCCTTCAATTTGAAGAAAACCAAAAGTGATCGATCTAAACTCCCGCACTTAGCATACATATCAACTAATGCAGATCCAATATAAACATCGAGATTAAGCCCCCGAGACATTGCGTAATGATGTATCTCTTTTCCTAGCTCAAGAGCTCCAACATGGGCACAAGCTGAAACAACAGTCGACATTGTTACCTCGTCGGGAATAATCCCATTCAATCTCATGTTGCCATAAATCGTCAGCGCTTCTTCGTATTGCTTGTTCTGAGAATAACAAGTGATCATAGTTGTCCAGGAGATTATATCCCTAGCCGGCATTTGATTGAAGAGAAACTCTGCAGACTCCACATTTCCCAATCTTGCATAGCCATCAATCATGGTATTCCAAGTTGCAGTATTGCTTTCAGGCATTTCCTCAAACAACTTCCTAGCTGAATCCATATCTCCAGCACGAGCTAGAGCTGAAACCATAGTAGTCCATGCAAAAGTATCTCTTTCACGCATTTCATCAAACACCTTTCGCGCATCCCCAAATCTCTCCAAATTTGAGTACAAATCAATCAGAGAAGTTTGAACAAACACATCCAATTCCAGCCCATTCTTCCAAATGTGACAATGGATCATCCGTCCCAAATCAAGTGCACACATACAGGTGCAAGCTTTAACTAAAGACGAAAACGTATAACTACTTGGCAAAACCTTCGATTCTAGCATATGAACATAACATTGTATAGCTCGAAATGGATACCCACAATATACAAATCCCCTAATCATCGCATTATACACAAAAACATTAGGATTTTCCATCTGTGTAAAGGCCAAAACAGGGTAATCTACAGAGTTGAATGTTAACGACGCGCTAATAAACTGATTCACTAAAAAGCAATCTTGGGTTGCATTAGTTTTTATCATTGAAGCATAAATACCATCCAGTTCGTTTATTGTGGAGCAGTTTTTGATTCGATCAAGAAGAGTTTGCTTGAAAGTAGAAACATACGATCCTTGAAGAGTTCGTGGGGTTGAAGAACTTACGAAGTTGCTAATGCTTCTTGTTATCTGTTTAAGAGCGTTGGTAGGCGTGATTGAAAACATCGCTGCAGCTATTCTCCATCACCATTTAGATGAACCAGTCTGGAAACTAGAGAGGCCGAGAGATCGGCTTTTCTGCGTATATTTTGGAGTGGGTGAACGCGAACTCCATCTTCCTTGTTCTTGATTTCTCTCATCTCCCGCCCTCTTCCCTTTTAACGGACATAAGAAAATTTAAATCCCATTTTAGTTCAATTTTTTTTTCTGTTGGTTGCAATTATATGAACATTGATATAACCGTGGGTTGTGATCTTGACACGCTCATGACTAGCCTTGAGGAGAATATTCCATATATATTTTTCGCTCCGGCTTTGTGGCTTCGTCGTTCCTTAGGCGAACATTGAACATCGCTTGTGTAGAATTCAAGCTTGTTCAACCACACACGCCGCTTGCACGTACATGTTCAATCGTTTGCAACACATCCGACTTGCCTCTACTCTAGGCTAAGTCATTCGGTTCGACCTTGACTTTGCTCGGGCCAAGGTCTCTCAATGCAACGTCGCATCTCATCTTGCCATTCTTGATGGCATGACCGAACGAGTTATGATGGCCAACGACATCCCGAGACTCGGGATGGCGTCAAGACATATGGACCCTGTCGATGGGTATATATATATATATATATATATATATGATATTGTCCGAGCATAATCTCTCGTGACTTTACTTTAGGCTTCCCAAAAAGCCTCCAACCAAATAGTATTTTTTTATTATAAATTCATGATCATTTCTTAAATGAGTCGGACTTTCATCCAACATATATTAGTCGAGAATCTAATTGACTCGAACTATTCGACATAAAATATAAAATCGAGTTGAGCTAAAAAAAATAATTTTCAATTTGGATTGGGTTAAATTTTTGAAAAACCGAAAATTTAGGTCAGTTATGGATTAACATTTTTTGAACTCGAAAATAGAATTACAGTCTAATTCAATCTTACCTTAATTTTAAGATTATTACAAAAATTAAAAATATTTGACATTTATAACCGATATTAGTAATATGTTGTAACGTGTGAATGTTTAATATTTAAACTTTATGAGATTTTAATATTAATGTAACATTTATTGTATATGAACATGATTTTTTATAATTTTTTTTTTAAAAAAAAAACAACCCGACAACTTAAAAATAGGGTTAAAACCGGCCCCTACCATACTTTTAAGATTATTATGAAAATTAAAAATATTTGACGTTTGTAACTGATGTTATTAATATCAGTAATGCGTTGGTGACACGTGAATTTAACATCATTTTGCCTTATACATATCAACAATGATGGCTATTCGATTTGATTCCAGAATTCCATGAGTTCATATAATAAGACGATCAAACTGAACCTTAGCACCATCCTTGAGGCCATCGGTTTTGATAATCCCATCCCTTAAACCATTTCTTCCTCGAGTTCGATCCGAACAATGTCTTCCTCTTCCCTCTCCACGGTAAAGACAACTTCGACAAAAACGAACTCCCTTTCACGTACCTCGACTTCTCGAGACGCTGTAGTCGAGGCGCGTACGAGACGGGCAAGTAATAGCTATGCTGATCGTCTTCTAGAAGAGGAAAGATTTCGTCTCGAGTACGAGCGGAGTTGAGCTTGAGATACCTAAGTTCAAGAGTGTCATGGGGTATGTTTCTAGCTAGCAAAGGAGAAGCTCCACCCCAATTGTTCTTGGCAAGAGAAGGGTGTTGTGGTGTTCTAAATTCTAGTATGGGCCTCATTTGGTTAACTCACCAATACTCAACCAACCATTTTGATCTGGTTTTTGTAGTGAGAATCTTGGTTTTCTTGTTCGTAGATATCAATGGGGAGCAAACTTCCAAGAACTCCATTGGATTTAGATAAGTTTCTTTATTGGAGATCGCCCATTTTGTTAATGTTCATCCTTGTCTTGTAGGATTGATGCTTGTTTAATGGAGGCGAGTATTACAAGACATTGCATCTCGTTTGGTTGTATATTATTATAGTTTCGTTGTCAAATGTATTAGAATTGTGACACCCGAGTAGAGGAGGAGTATATGAATGAGCTGAGACCACATCGAATAAGAACACAATATTAAAGATATGATTTGACTTACAAGAATTGAAAGTTAATATATATACAAAATACAACTTCATTTTCAGTGTTTGCTTTGAACCATTTTATGTATGGTGATCTCCTGATAATTTTCTTAACGTGCGTACGAGTGAAGAAAAAACATGCTGCAAAAATTAAGATAGATTTTACTCTTAGAAGTAATAAGTAGCGTAATCATGTCGTAAGGAAATGGAAGCGAATGTCGGAGCCTATAGGTAACCAATACACATTCCAAATCATGATTCTGTGAGATACCACATCGGTTGGAGAGGGAAACGAAGCATTCCTTATAAATGTGTGGAAACTTCTCCCTAAAAAAGACGTGTTTTAAAAATTTTGAGAGGAAGACTGAAATGGATAGTTCAAAGAAGACAGTGTCTCGCCAGCAAGGACATTGAGTTCCGGGAGTAGATTGTGAGACGCCATACTAAAAATTTATAATGCTACAATAGTACATACTCCTTGAATTCAATACTGAATGTTCATAAATAATATATTACTTTCTTTCATGAATATTTGAAACTACCCTCCTAGTGCTACATATCCGCACAGATAAACAATGAGGTGACACTAATTCTGTGAAGGGCAATGAATCAATCAAAATAAAAGGTGTTGTTCATTCAAGTTAGGACTTTGGTATTCAAGGTTTATGGTTAATTTACAGAGGCTATGAGCTTGGCAATTGAATTGTGTAACCACTACACTACGAGGTTAGATGGATGCTGGGAAACAAAATGGACCATCACTGGCGTGCAACAACAACAAGCAACTTTTCAGCTCCAAAGTGCTTCTTCACTTAGCTTCAGCAAGTCGAGCGCGTATCGTCTCGGCACTCGACAATTTATCGATGCTGCAATAAGAAACCAGACAGGATTTTAAGCAACCCCTCGTCGGAGAATCATCGAGTTTTTGCAGAAGGTCCATTATGATAATATTCCAACGCTTACCAGAGTAATACATCACCACTGGATGCCAACTTCTCAGAAATCCAATCGGGAACCAGTTCTAGCAACAAATTTATCTGTTCTTCAATTTCCTCTACAAGTAAGAACATATGAAATGAATCAGAATCAGCTCCAGACAAGCTAAAATAAAATGGAATGTAATTATAATAGATGCGCTATTTGCTTACTTTTGTCAACAATATCCACGTTGCCAACGATTATTTTGTATATTAGCTCCTCCCTGGTGATAACTGTGCGCTTGTGGAACAAGAAGAAGATAGCATTGAAGAGTTTGGGTAGGCTGGCAATCATTTTCTGTCGTCTCTTAGCTTGAGATATTGCCGGCATTTGTTCTTCTTTGATCTTCCTTTCTTTCTCTCTGATCTGCAAATTGAGAACACGAGAAATTATTAACATAAATTGCCATGCTTGACTGCAAATGGAAGTTTCAATCAAGCACAAAATAAGAGAGAATTGCTTATAAGATAGGGAATGGTCATACCGATTGCACAAGGCTCTGAGGTAGAATATCTAAGATGTCATCGTCAGGTGATGCACATCTTGTAAGATCTTTTTGATCGTCATTTTTATCTTCCTTTGTGGGAGTGTCAAATACAAGTGATCTAGAGCGGGGAGGACGTCGAACCAACTTGTTTGCTGAGCGAGAAGAATCATCTTCATCGGGACTCATGGAGCTTCTTTTCGGTGGAGCCATTGCAGGTGTGCTAGCCATCAGACGAGCCGGGGTTGAAACAAGCTTTGCAGGAGTTGATTTTATATCACTAGTTTTTGCAGTTGGGTCGTCTTCATTTGTAAGGGCTACTCTAGCTGCCATATTACTGGGAGTTGTGGGAAGAGGCAATGCTGAAGAACGGAGGGGAGAAGCATAGTTTTCAGGACAGTTTGAATTGCAGGTTGAGTAGGAAGGTAGTTTAACAGGGGAGAAAGGCATAGATGAAGATTCTGTCTCGATTTTTGTCTCGGCATCGGAACAAAATGGAATTTGATCAGAACGCTTAGCAGCTTGGCCAGTTTTCTCCATTTCTCTGTTAACTTTCTGAGAGAAATGCCGGGTAAAAGATGGTGAAAAATGAGATAACCCAATTAATTCCTTCTGTTTACTTGGGCCAGAAACAGTCATGGTAGATTTAATTATCCGAAAACCTTGATTTTCGTTTGAATGATCTTCTGCGACACTTGTGGATGAAATTGCTGGTTGCTCAGCGGCCAATTGCTCAATTGGTGCCTTGACAGATGATAAAAAGTTGGTTTTTGGAAAAAGATCTTGACTTGAGCAATTGAATGGCTTTGGCAGCAAATCCTTTGGAACATCATCAATCTGAATATAAAAGCATGTCTTAGAATGTTAAAATTTGAAGACGTGGGATACAATACTTCCTCCAAAATACTACAGGAGAAGATTGACTTCCAAATTGAATAAGAAAAATCAAGCATCATGAGTGGTCATCAAATAAATGATAACTATAAACTAAAGTGACCAGAATGCTATCAATCCTTGGTATGACCACCAACTTAATTCCTACACTACACAATTTGGGACAAGCACATCCAGCAGGCATCATCAATGCTTCTGTTTTAAGACATTATGTAGCACAACTAGAAATCAGAGCAAGCACTAGCAAATAACAGAGGGATCCCAAGTTCACATTTAAGACTAGTAACTATAGAGAGAATTAACATTCTAATGATAACTATAAACTAAAGTGACCAGAATGCTATCAATCCTTGGTATGACCACCAACTTAATTCCTACACTACACAATTTGGGACAAGCACATCCAGCAGGCATCATCAATGCTTCTGTTTTAAGACATTATGTAGCACAACTAGAAATCAGAGCAAGCACTAGCAAATAACAGAGGGATCCCAAGTTCACATTTAAGACCAGTAACTATAGAGAGAGAATTAACATTCTAGGATTCATGACCACAAACACAAACAAATACTACATCTACAAATCAGAGAAGGAAAATGCAGCATACCTCTGGATGGGAACTTGCAAATTCTGAAAGCCGTGCCTTGAACAACTTTCTCAATTGCATATACTGGTTTCCTGTTTCAAGGTTATCTTTATTATCTAGCACGCTAAAATTGAATGATATGTGAAGATCCGGCTTCATACAACTGGTCCGCTCATCAAAGATCATGACCTTCTTAAGCTCTATTGCTTCAGGTACAATAAACTTCATTTGGGCCAAATGACCATATGAAAACCTCCTGCACTCGCAGCCATCAAGTTCAGAATCAGAAAACACAACATACGGTCTAGAGATGCTCTCAGAGTAGTAAAATAAGTCAAAGAACTAGTGGCCAAAAAATCAAGACTGAAGGTTCGAAAACCAATCTTGTGAGGCTTAACTTCCTATATCAGAACAAAAACAATTACACTTCACGAACAAATAATCATATATTTAGAACGAAGTTATTCGTCATTGTTCTTAATCAATTATCATTACAAACAAGCAGTATTTTGTTACAAGCTAACAATAGAGGATCTAATAAACTTCTTCAGTGTTACTTAAGCACCTAAGTAAGATAAATAATTCAATGTACTATCCAAAATACCAAATTAACTGCAGTATCAACACATAAATTGACCATGGCATCCGAGAGGAAAAGTCAATGTAGAAGGCAGAATAAGTACCTATCAGTAAGGACTTCGATCTTGGGACACACATTAGAGAAGTTGGATGCTACACCTTTAAATCGTAACAACCGCATTACAGAGTCCAAGCTATCAAAGAACTTGCTCAGAATTTCAAATCTGCAAACACCAAAGTAACAACATTCATTCACTAAACATTGATACTAGATCTAAAAGCAACCAGCCATCAATAATCCAAATTCAAGATCAAGAAACGAAAGACTTACTTCTCAGTCAACTTCTTAGACTTATCAACAGAAGTCTTGAATCTACTAGATGGACATTCATTCGACCACGAATCTATCTGCCTTCTGACCGATTTACTCCCTTCCGTGGTCAGATCACGAGGCAGCTGACGATTAGATTCACGGACACTCTCAGCAGCTCGCCGCACCTCTTTGATTGAAAGCGCAACCTTACGGCTCCTAGTTCTGGTAGTGAGCTCCGCCGACTTCTCCGGCGTCTTGGAACTCAAAGATTGTTGATCCTGAAGTAAGGATTTGGAGTTGGAGCGCAAAGTTTTCTTCGATTTGAAGGGTAAAGACGATGATGGAGAAGAAATCTTCTCGGAGGCGTCCATTGTTACCGATTGGAAGAGATGGGAAAGGGCAGAGAGAAAGAGGTGATTTAGGGTATGAAATCTGAGGGGCTTTTATATATGGAATGGATTTTGGCGGGAATGGGGAGCTAGCGCTGCTCTATGGCCTGCCACGTGGTCTCCCGCCAAAACAGCCCGTTCGATCCCGCGCAAATGTCCTGGGTTGTTTGGGAGCTGGGTTAGTATAGCCGGACTACGAACGGACTTACTCGTACTCTACGTATAAGCCAGCTCGAGGGAACGTTGGTTCCCGCCAAATTCTTTTGGCTTATTCGGAATATGGATTAGTCTATCCTGATTGTTTGGATTCCCTTGGATCTTGAGGAACGTGGGCCAGCCTGGATTTTCTTTAATTATATTTTGTGTGAATAATTTTTTTAATAATTTTGTTGATTTATTACCAACTTAATTTTAAAATTATAAATTTAATGTAGAGTCGTATTTATATTTAAATTTATAGTTAATATATCAATTAATTTTTAAACAATTTCAAAAAAAAAAATTTAAAAATTTAGATTTATTATATATTATTTAAAGTTCATAAATCACTTCCTTTATAATTTAACTTCAATTTTTTTCTTTACCATTGGTAAAAAATAAAAAAATAATAAAAAAAAATTCTTTCTCCATAAAAATCACTCGATTTTTTTCTAATTTTAGAATTTATTTGTTGCTTTATATATATTATTTTATATCCTTTCCATTTTTTTTATCCATCAAAACTTCAATGGACAAAAAAAAATGGAAAGGATATAAAATAATATATATATATATATATATATATATTACAAAAATACTCGGACAATTAATTTTTGGATAAAAATCATTAATATTTTATTTTAAAGAATTAATAAATAGTTTTTTTTGGAACTTAAATAATGGGTCTCATCCTCTCACCAACGTGAGAGAAATATAATTTAGGGTTGGATCGTAATCAATAAATTTTGTATTATTAAAGCTTGCAAATTGTATATTCGTCTGATTAGATAATTATCCACGATAACAAATCTGAATCGTCGTAAGAAATGTCATGATTTCTTCAATATATTGACGCATTTCTCGATGTTAAATGTTGAGAACATATCAATCAATATGTCGAGAAAAACATCGAGAAAGTGTGTCGTTATAATAGTTATTGTATGAACTTTTAATATTTTCTCGATATTTTCTTGATTTTATATTTTACCTCAATAAAAAATTACCACTTTTCCAAAGAAACGTGCTAGGGAGAGGAAATCACATTGTCATTGTCGCTCTTAGGTGACTCACGTTGAAGATATATGTCACCAATAATAAGTTCGGGTATTTATATAAGACATCGTCGATATGGATCTTAGATGAATGGGCATCAGTGGTGAGTGTCGTCGTCGTGGCTTCATCGAAAGAGATGATATCATAGGAGTGTCAACAACGAGAGAACAACCCGAATAGAGTTCACAATCCAACTCAATCCAACCTTGTATTTTCAGATTGGGTTGTCGGGTGTTTTTTTAATATCATTTTAAAAAAATTACTTATCTACCACACACGTTACATTAATAACTACGGAAAGTTCAAATATCATAGTTGATGGGCTTCTTAATCCAATATAAGCCCAAAGAAATCTAAGGCCGAATGAAGTAGTTTGAGTTTTGGGCCTTGGCACTCACCAACCAAGTTGTAGCATGGTTGGGCCCAGAGCCCATTTAGCAGTCCAATTTCAATATAAAGAATCCTGTTTAATAACAACAACAACAATAATAAATATATATTGAAAAAGAGAAAAAAAAAAGATTCTGATCAACTTGCTTTATTTATTTATTTATTTATTTCATTTAAAATTAAAATAAATTATTTTTTCATTTAATTTTGACATCTCCAAGTTTTCACGTAATAGCAATGGAAATTCGAATTTTTTTTTAAAACTAAATAATTATTTAATTTTATTAAATAATGAAGCAACAACCATAAAAGTTTTAAATTAAGTTAATTCAAATAGTTAAAATAATTTATTTTTAATATAAGATTATTTTGCAATATATTTTTTGAAAAAATTATATTTCAAATAGTTAAAAAATATTTTAAAGAGTAGCAGAATAATAAATAATTATATAAATTAAATAAAAAATAATAATATGTATACGTAAATTACGCAAATAATGAATTTAATTTATAAATTTTTTATTTTTTTAAATAGTTATACTATTAAAATTTAATATAAAATTACCAATATGTCTTTAAATCATAAAAAGAAAGTATTTAATATACCATTATCTATTAATTTTATGTATAATAAATAATTTTTTTTAATATAGAATAAAATTTACGTATTAAATAAACAAAAATATTAAAATTTAGAAACTGAATAAATAAATAAAAAAAAATTAAATTTTAACCGAAAATATCTGGTTTGAGTTATAGAATGCGAGCCCTTATTTTTTAATTAAGCCAATGATTTGAAGGTGATATACAAAAAGTGGAGCAACCCAAATGAGCAGACTGCTCGATTAAGGCTACCGAGAAGAGAAGCAAAGAGACGACCCGACCTCACGTTTCTTCCGGGACTCTCATTTTTATTTATTTTTTTGTTTCTTAATCCGAAATCCGAGCTGTGTAAAGATTGGAAGCACACAATCGAACTCTCAACTTAGTCCAACTCATAACACCCGATTAATTCTGTGAATTTTCTTCTTCCCTTGCACGCAACCCCTTTCATTTTCCTCTTTGATTTCGTCTTGTTTGCTATCGATTTCCTTCTGTTCTTTGATTTCCGGCTGCTGTTTTTGGGGGTTTTAATCTCTCCCGATCATCTGAACCACTAATTTTGACTTGGGTTTGTCTTATCTTCATCTGCTTCAATCCCTTCATTCATGTTTCTTTTGAAGGTAATGTTTGTGGCTAACCCTGTTGCTTATTTTGCTTCCTTTTGATTTTTGGTTATTATTTGTTCGTGTTTGTCATGTTATGTTCTTTGTTTGAGCTTGAATGTTTGTGAATTGGAGCGTTTAGAACTAGCTTCCTTTTGAATTTGTAGACGAGAATTGAAATTTTTGTACTTAAAATGGGGTTTGATGATTCATATATTTCTTTTTCTGGCGTTCTTCATCAGCAAATTCCTGGTGTTTTCTGTTTATCCCTCTCAATGATTTGTGGGTTTTGTGTATTTTTTTGCTATTGATTATGGCCTTTGATTCGTGTTGCAAGACCATCTGGATTCTTTCCCCCCTTCCACTCCTTTCTCTAAATGCATAATTGTCTATATTCAGACTTTTCAAGTATTCCATCTTTCGTTTGTGCTTCCCTAGCTTGCTTATGCGAGATCCCACCTCGGTTGGGGAGGAGAACGGAGAATGAAACATTTTTTTATAAGGGTGTGGAAACCTCCCCATAGCAGACGTGTTTTAGAAACCTCGAGGGGAAGCCCGAAAGGGAAGGCCTTAAGAGGACAATATTTACTAGTGGTGGGCTTGGGCCGTTACAAATGGTATTAGAGCTAGACATTGGACGATGTGCCAGTGAGAAGGTTGAGCCTTAAAGGGGGTCGACACGTGGTGGTGTGCCAGCAAGGATGCTGGGTCCTGAAAGGGGGTGGATTGCAGGGTCCCACATCGATTGGAGAAGGGAATGAGTGCCAGCGAGGACGCTGGGCCCCGAAGAGGGGTGGATTGTGAGATCCCACCTCGGTTGGGGAGGAGAACGAAACATTCTTTATAACAGTGTGGAAACCTCCCCCTAGTAGACGCGTTTTAGAAACCTTGAGGGAAAGTCTAAAGAGGACAATATCTGCTAGCGGTGGGCTTGGGCCATTATAAATGGTATCAAAGCCAAACACCGGGCGATGTGCCAACGAGGAGGCTAAGCCCTGAAGGGGGGTCGATACATTGTGGTGTGCCAGCAGGGATGCTGGGTCCGAAGGGGGGGGGGGATGGATTCTTGGAGGATGATTATGCAATTGTTAACTTCCACACGTTCGGATTGTCTAAACTCTTATTAAATTGCTAGTTAAAGTGTTTTTGACATGACCATTTTTTTGGTATCAAGTTTTATGTGAATGGCTATACTTACCATCTGAAGTTAAATACAACATGATAGTTGGATTTTGTTGTATTTTTCCTCTCTAAGCTATCTTCCGTCATACATTATTATTTTGATCTGGGTAGCTCAAGCTTTTCTTATTGCTATCTCTTTCAACTACTTTCAGTTAATGGACTTGCTGTATCGACCCACTGTCCGTCTTAGTGAATGATGCTCAGTGGAACACGGGATGCAGATAATGTTGGAATTTTTAAATGGAAAGCCCGTGGTGAATCGTCTTTAACATCTTCGTTGCTTAAGGATGTGGCGCCAGAGATCGAACTATCTACCTTTGGACGAGTGCCAAATCTTGGTAGTGAGAGCCCTACCGAGCTTCTTGATGGGGAGCGCTTAAACGTGGAACCAATAGCTGACTTGGACCTATTCTTTGAAAGGCTCTATACCTATTACTGTGACAAAGGGCTTTGGTGCATCATAACAAAGTGGATAGTAGAGCTTTTGAGTCTTGGTTTTACCATATGTTTCTCAGCTTTTTTCTTACTATTTGTTGATTGGAATGGTCTTCGTAACGCCAAGTGCGGGATGGACGCAGTGGAGTCTGGAACTAAACCGTGTGATCTTGCCAAGGAAGCTCTTCACGAGCACCCCTTACGCCATATGACAGTTTCGAAAGCTATCATCCTTGGATATTTGGGCATATTTTCTGTTTATTGGACCTTTTGCTTTTTAAGGTTTTTTGCGCAGCTAAAGGACATTCTAGGAATCCGTCACTTTTACTACGACAGGTTCGTTGAACAAATTTTGTCAATGCTTTTAAATGGCTTTACTTAAACTAGTTTATGAGTGTTCTTAGATTCATATTGACACCAGTTTTTCTTTATGTGAAGTCTTCACATATCCGACAATGAAATCAAAACTATGCCATGGGCAACAATTCTCAAGAAGGTTGTCGAGCTCCAAAGTACTCGTCAACTCTGTGTAGCGAAGGATCTCTCTGCTCATGATGTGGTCATGCGCTTGATGCGAAAAGAGAACTACCTGATCGGGATGCTTAACAAAGGAGTACTTGCTTTTCCTATCTCGCAATGGGTCCCGGGTGCTGGCCCAGCTATGAAATTTGACTCGTCCAGAAATCATTACCGTTTAACGTTGACAAAAAGTCTTGAATGGACGTTGAATTGGTGCATACTACAGAGCATGTTTGATCGGTACGTACGTTTGTTACTGGAATTATTTCTCTCTGTTATTTAGAAAATGGCTATGGCTATGGCTATGGCTAGGTCTTAGACGGATCAAATAGTACGAAAGGATACAAGTTTTTTAATGATTGTTGATAAGATCTCGAACATTTCAACGATTTTCTGCTTGCGATGTAGCATATCTACTGACTGAAACATACTCCTGTTGCAGTAACTACTGTGTGAGAAGGGAGTTCATATCCAATCCTAGAACATTAAAGAAAAGGCTTGCGGTCGTTGGAGTCGTGATGCTCCTGCTTTCTCCATTTCTTGTCATATTCATGTTGGTATACCTCTTTCTGAGGCACGCCGAACAGTTCTATAACCACCCAAGTACAGCATCATCTCGAAGGTGGTCGAATTTGTCGAAGTGGATATTCAGGGAGTTTAATGAGGTACAATGACTCTTTCGATTTTACTAGAGTAAAATTTATTTCCTTGTCCAAGTGCTCGATTATCCTATCTGCTATTGTGCTGACCGCATTTAGGCTATAACTTGCGACCGTTGATGATTATGACGTAAAAAAAGGAGAGATTTAGGTTGTAATATGTCATGTAACAGATGATGATTATGAAACAACAGATCGAGATTTTCGTTATTCTTAAAAAATGTATCATGTAATATTATTATTGCTGCTATATGTTTGGCAGGTCGAACATTTGTTCAAGCACCGGATGAATAGCAGCGTGCTTCATGCTTCGGAGTACCTAAAGCAATTTCCCTCTCCGATTATTTCGATAATCGCAAAGTTCATTTCATTTGTCTTTGGGGGCTTTGCTGCTATTCTGATTATCATTGCTTTTCTGGACGAATCTTTACTGGAAGGCCATGTAATATACATTTCATTTACTCTTAGCCCTGAAATGATGTGTTCACTATGCACTTTGATCTAAATGCATTCTTTTACCATTCAGATTTTCGGCCGTAACCTCCTATGGTATGCTGCTGTTTTTGGAACGATAACTGCTATTAGTCGGGCTGCCGTTACAGATGAGATTTTAGTTCTAGATCCCGAGGGGGCAATGTCTATCGTCGTCCAGCATACTCATTATATGCCGAAGAGATGGCGTGGCAAAGAAAATTCTGAGCGTGTTCGACTAGAATTTGAAACCCTTTTCCAGGTAAACTTGCTAGCGATTCATTTCGTTCTCTGTGTGGCTGGTAAGAGAATTAAAACCGGTAACTTCGAACTTGAGATCATCCCATCTATTAATGAAACTCAACATTATTAATCAGCAAAGAGAGTATGACTCAGGGAGGGTTGATATGAGATCCCACATTGTTTGGAGAGGGGAACGAAACATTCTTTATAAGGGTGTGGAAACCTCTCCTTAGAAGACGCGTTTTAAAACCATGAGGCTGATGGCGATACGTAACGGACCAAAGCGGAGAATATCTGCTAGTGGTGGGCTTGGGCTGTTACAGCATACCAAATCACCTTTGTTACCCAATTTCTTACTCATGTTCTTTTAGTTCCCCATTGCTTAAAACTCTCTTACATCACACGACTTCTTCACCGACGTGGCTGCACTTACGAACTCACAATCTAAGCCCCACCGAAGTGTTTTCTTTTCTTGTAATCTTCTCTCTTTCTCTCTCACGGACCGTTTCTGATGCAGTATACAGGAATGATGTTACTTGAGGAGATGGTCTCCATTTTTCTCACCCCATTCTTGCTTGTGTTTGTTGTTCCAGAGGTTGGCAGCTTTTATAGACCATATCAGAGCTCATTTTACTGTGGTCACTGTCTTTCAGTCACTGATATTTGTATATTTGCAGAGGGTGGATGACATTTTGCAGTTCATTGCAGACTTCACAGTGCATATTGAAGGTGTTGGTCATGTTTGCAGGTTATTGTGTTTCTTATATTATCATCATCTTTACTCTTTCCTTGCATTTAACTGTTCCTGAATGAAAGAGTCAAATGAGATTCAAAAGATTTAAGAGATGTAAAGCCGGGGGGAAATTCAAAGACGTCCCCCGTCCTCACGGACTTGCTATATACTCATCTAAATACACCGCTCCCATTAGTTACTATCTCTGCTAAGAGGCCCGACTCTACATCTCGTTCTCATCCTTATTTATACCGTCATTAGCCCCTTCCCCTCACACATTTTCTCCTACATGTTAATTATCGGGTGTCTCATAAATGTGTTGTGAGATCCCACATTGGTTGGGGAGACATTCTTTATAACGGTGTCGAAACCTCTCTCTCTAGAGGACAACGTCTGCTAGTGGTGGGCTAGGCTCGTTACAAATGGTATTAGAGCCAAATACCGAGCGATGTGTCAACGAGGAGGTTGAGCTCCGAAGGAGGGTGGACAAGAGGAAGTGTGCCAACAAGGACGCTGGCCTCGAAGGGGGTGGATTGGAGGGTCCCACATCGATTGGAGAAGGGAACGAGTGCCAGCGAGGACGCTGGGCCCCGAAGGGAGGTGGATTGTGAGATCCCACATCAGTTGGGGAGGAGAACGAAGCATTCTTTATAAGGGTGTGGAAACCACTCCCTAGAAGACATGTTTTAAAAACCTTGAGGGGAAGCTCGAAAGGGAAAGCCCAAAGAGGATAATATCTGCTAACGGTGGGCTAGGATCGTTACATGTGATATGGCTCCGGCCTCTGATATACATTTTTTTCCCCCTAAAATTTAGGTTCTTATAATTTTTGGATGTTTCCTTGTCTTCTGCAGTTTCAGTACCTTTGACTTCCCTAAACATGGAAATAGCAGCTATGGGTCACCACATAACGCACCAGGTGCGGAGAGAAGCTCCCAGGGGAAAATGGAGAAATCATTCTTAAGGTACAATCATCAGCTTTTCTCTGGACATTTTATGTGGTCGTTGCTCGTTCAGATCGTTTCGTTATGCCAAATTTCATTCTCGGAATTGTTTCTCTTAACTCTTCTGATTTAAATGCATTTCTGACGCCCCGTTCTTACTTTCTTGATAAATGTAACAGTCCAAGCTCACTGCTAGCAGATATTGTCCTATTTGGGCTTTCCCTTTCGGGCTTCCCCTCAAGATTTTTAAAACGTGTCTGCTAAGAAGAGGTTTCCACACCCTTATAAAAAATGTTTCGTTCTCCCCTCTCAAAGTTTTTAAAACGTGTCTGGGAGATGTTTCCACACCCTTATAAAAAATGCTTTATTTTCCTCCCTCAAGGTTTTTAAAACGCGTCTGCTAGGGAGAGGTTTCACACTCGTGTAAAGAATGTTTCATTCTCGTTCCCAATCAACATGGGCCTGGGCTGTTACAATAAATTTTTGGAGAAAAATATGTAAATGATAAAAGGAGAGCTGGTTCGATATTTCTTCTCCGATATAAACATCTCTTGTTCGTTCTTTGTTTCAACCGTTCGACTTGCTTTGATTTGAGCGACCAACAAGATAGCATGTATTTTTGTTAAAGATTAGCTGCCCAGTCGTCCATTCATGAACTTGGTTAGTGTCGTGTCCAGTTGTCCATTCATGAACTTGATTAGTGTCGTGTTTTGTGTGAAAGTGTTGCATTCAAGTTAGTTTCTCTGAAGTGTTTCTTGCTGCAGTTTCTGTAGTAGCTATCCTGCATGGGAGCCAAATGCTCAGGGCAAGCAGTTCCTGTCAAATCTATGGACTTTTCGGGACAGAATGTTGCAGCGTCGGGGACATGTATATCAGCCACAAGAAATATATCAAGGACGTCGCAGTTCAATCGGTCATCGGGACAGGAACAGGGTTTTTTTGGGGGAACTACCCCGCCCAAATTCAGCAGCTGCTAATTGGATGGATTTTCTATGGCTGGATGAACACCATAGAAACTTTCCTTACCTACTTGATCATTATTATACAAACGCACCACGAGATAAAGCCAGTAACTCGGGAGACATCCCTGAAGAACCATCTGAATCAATGGAGCCGAACTCGAAAGTTTATTGGACGCCACCCGACTTCACTCGAAAAGAACGGAGCTACGAAGATTACTGGAAGGAAGATCATCCCATGGATCGATCACAGTCTCAACTCGGGGCTTCCACATCAGCTCCAATCGTTCGCGAAAGCATATTTCGACATCAAGATTTGACCAGTAGTGCAAATCCTGATACTAAAACCCAGTGGTGGGATCGAAATATCGCATCTTGGGATCAACCCGAAACAAGTTTCATGGAGCCTCCTGATTTCAATAGGCACACTACTATGAAGAGTCGCTACGATAACATCTCAGAAAGAAGCTCGGAGGAGCGACAACATATGGAATGGAGCGAGTTCGGAAAGTTGTCCCGAGCCACCTACTTAGAAGACATAGAGACTGGAGAATTGGATCTTCATTTCGGAGATGTGTACAGCGGAACTCCAGACGCTCTAGAACCCGAATCTACAAGGTTCGAGTAATAGGTGCTTATACTTTATATGTGGAAGCTAAGGGATGCATATTGATTTTCAGGGTTCTTTTATGTTTCTGCCAACATTACAGCAGAATCCTTAAATTCTTTTTCTGTACATAAATTCATCAAACAAAACATTCTTCGTAGGCTTCTTCTGTTTGGTTGGAAGCCTCTTGGGGCCATGCGAATGTGTAAGTAATGGCACATTCAAGTTATTAATGACACCCAATTCATTCTTCCATAGCCACATCATTCTCTTCAAACTCGCTTTGACAAACCACGTGTCTCTTTCGAACTGAAAAGCTGTTCGAGGCGATGATTGCACATCGTTGGAGAGAGCGCTGTTGGGCATGAAAACTTGAAAACCTGAGCAAACTAAACTCGTGCCCGTTAGGGCAGCATTTACCGATCAAAATGTAGTAACCCAATAGCAAGAAAGCTGTGCCCATCACACTCGACACTTGTTGATTGTCTTGTAATGACGGTTAGATGTGGATCAAAAAATGTGCATGTCCCCTAATAACCATGAGCTATAAATTTAAGATATTTCCATTCATACATCAACGGTGAAAAACTATCAGCTACATTGTGACGACCTCAACAAGCTGGTATCATCTACCTCGTGAACATTCAAGGTGGCTCTTCCTGCAAATTTCTTGAACAATCAATGCTACATTTTGGGGATGCAAAGGGAAGCATTAAAGTGCATTGTATCTTAGTCATTACTTTTCCGAACGTTTCTTTTCAATGGCTCGAGCAGTATACAATTCGAATGATCTTCGTTTTGTCCGAAGAAACCTTTCAACACCTCGGCCGTATATCAGTACTCGATGTGCACTTGATAAAATGGCAGTCGCCGACAGATCAGAACAAATTACACAGCTTTTAGAGTTCCTGGAATCAAGTGGGATGGGGTGAAAATAGAGCTGATTAATGTCATTATTTGAAGATTTCCCAACTTTTGAGTGTCTGAAGATGCATTTCGGGTCTTCGTATCGACAAGCGACAAGTACAGGATAAACGCTTGTGTGATATTTACACCATTAAATCGATTTCAAGCAAGGAACCAGCAAACTCAAACTTCCAGTCTATCTAAACTATTATCATCATCATTCTCCATACTTTCCCCTCCGGAGATCATTTTCATGATGGTTCGTGTAGCTTTGCCTACGGCACGAGAAGTCTTCTTTGCAGCTCCAGCAACAACAGGCTGCAAAGAAATAACGGGCAGGTCTGCTCTCTCTTGAATCATTGCTGTATCATGCAGACAACATAATATAAGCTGTTAAACTCGTGATTAGTTATAAGCACGTGTAGAATAAGTTATCTTAGGCAACTTGTAGTCGAACATACACATAGTTTTTTGGTGGGCAACTGCACTGATCTGACGAATTCCAGCTTCTGCTGCTTGGACAGCCTGAGCTGATTTGTTTACCCCATCTGCTATCTCCTGGCTGTGATCACAATGAAATCCAGGCAGATTGCTCAGAAAAGTTTGAAGGAATGATGGTGCACACAGAGAAGAGGAGATGATGATATAAGAAACAAGCAATATGTCATATCCATGATGTAAATCTTTGGACCTGCTTAGAAGCTACTTTCATTAAGAAAATGAGAGAACAATCAAAAGAGAAAACGAGGATATATCACTCTGACCGCTGTGATCAAAAGACGAAGTGTGAGATCCCACATCGGTTGGAGAGGAGAACAAAGCATTCTTTACAAGGGTGTGGAAACTTTTCCCTAGCAGACGCGTTTTAAAACCTTGATGGGAAGCCCGAAAGAAAAAGCCCAAAGAGAACAATATCTGCTAACGTTGGGCTTGGGTTATAAGGGAGTAGACCAGACGGTCTGCCAGTGAGGACATTCGGGGAGTGGATTGTGAGATCCCATATCAGTTGGGGAGGAGAATGAAACATTCTTTATAAGAGTGTGGAAACGTCTCCCTAGCAGACACATTTTAAAACCTTGAGGAGAAGCCCAAAAGAGAAAGCCCAAAGAGGATAATACATGCTAGCAGTGGACTTGGACTATTACACAAAGTTTCTTACAAAATGTGGATACAAAGGGAAGCATTAAAGTGCGCTACATCCAAAACTTAATCCCAGGTTTCCTCGATACCCTTAAAAATTTTCTACACTAAAGACATACATTAACGAAGACTATTCGCATCTCAAAACTCGAAAAATATATTCTTAACCATAAAACAATTGGCAAGAAAGAGATGGACCCAGATAAGGAACTGTACTCACCTTAGATCGCTAAGTTCAAGAGTCAGATCACTGATCTCCATGCCAGAAAGTCTAATGGCAGCCATCGTACCAGGAAGTTCTTCCCGAGCTGTGTCAGCTAGTTTTGAAAGTGAAATGGCAGCTCTGCGCATCGCCTACGTAAAATTGGTAGAAAATTACTACTCTCAGATTCATAATTCATAACATTGTGGAGTGGCGTGTTATCAATGAACTTACATTAAGCGTTGGCACAGCCGCAATGACAAGGCTTGTAAATGCCACAGAAGCCTGCACCAATAAGCACAAATCAATGTTTGTACAAATACACAATGACCAAATAACTCTTTAGAAGTATGTGAAAGTGGGTATTCATCACATGCTCCCATTAGTAAGCACAGGTCAGCTCCTACCAAGGGCACAATTCAGAAACATCAACTGAATAGAAAAACAGTACCAAATAACTAGCTCCATTATGAGGAGAGGTGTTGTTATGGGAACAAAAATCCTCAAGTGATTTTCAATCCAGAGCTCAACACAATAAAAGATAACATAGCCGTTCATCTACGAAACCTAAAACCACACCGAGCTTCTCGAGCTTGAACAAAATACACCTATGACATCTAAGGATTATCCTCTCCATCTCTCTCTCTCTCTCCCTCTCTCCCTCTCTCTTAAAATTATAGGAAACATGAAAAATGCATTACCCAAAGGGAGAATGTGTGAGATCCCACATCGGTTGGAGAGGGGAACGAAACATTCTTTGTAAGGGTATGAAAACCTCTCCATAATAGACACATTTTAAAAACCTTCGAGGGAAGCCCGAGAGGAAGAGCCCAAAAAGGACAATATCTACTAGCAATGGGCTTGGACTGTTACATAAAGACAACCGGACTGGGGGAGGGAGAGCTCTCCTTCCTAACGATAGCTACTTACAAAATCACCTTCCAATTGGGAAGGATTTGTCCTCTCCATCTGAAACCATACATATGTAAGGTGAAAACCCAGCCAGAAATGATCAGCAAAGGTAACACGATTTCATTTGTTTGTTGTATTGTTTACTATTACATAATTGTATTATATTAAAGAAGATAACATCACTCATCCACAAACAGAAATTAAACAAAGAGACACAAAGATTTACGTGGTTAGGAGAGAAAAAATTCCCCTACATCAAACCATCTCAATAATCAAAGTGTAACACACTCTTACACTGCAAAGTCTCACTAAATAAAGTTCCTCCCAAATGTCACTCAACAAATACAAAATGACACTCAACCTCAATGCCTCTCAACCATCCTAGACTACCCTATATAAAGGCATAGAAGCATTAATGCCAAACATGAATCAAGATGATTCATGTATCACAGGAGGGAGATGAACCAAATAAATTCCAATGGATAGGAAAGAAGAATGCACCAAAAATGTTTATGGATCCAAAAGATTCATCAACTTATTCTTCATGACAATTTACAACATCAACAATCTCTTTTAGTCTTCTTAGCTCAACATCTCTATAATCAGAACTTGATCTGCTAATGAACATTCATAATAGTCAAAAGTAGTAAGGAGAAGCTTTCAAGGATTGATAAAACCAAAAAACTATTCTATTTGTTAGGAACTAATCATAATCAACTAGGAATAACAAAGAAACAAAAAGAAGGCACAAGTTCACCATTAATTCTTAAATCTCAAAGAAACATTATCGGTTACAGAATCAGCAGCATTCTTCAGGACACAGCCAATAACTACCAGAAATTCACAGAACACACAGCAAATCGAGAGGATTTAGGAGACAAAAAAATATGAAAAATCCAATTTACCGTTAGGGCAATGAATGTCAAGAGAAGAGAAGCCTTGTCGCTCAAGCTCAATTTCGCGAGAGGCTGAAATCCAACACTAGGGCAACCCACTTCCTCATTCCATTGCATTCGCTCTATGTTCTTCTCCATCAAAGCCCGATTCGAATCGTCAATCCCCACAGACTGCTCATTCCGAACAGATTTCTCTGAATCCCGACAACAAAATACAACCAATCGGGCCGGTTTAGCTCGCGAATTGAAGAAAGTGGGCTTAAATTTAATGGAGTTCTTGGATGTGGAAGAGCTGAAGCCATGAACAGGAAGCAAGAAGTAGGGGCAACAGAGAAATGTCGCCGATCTCATTGGAACAATTTCAGAAACAGTAAGTTGAGATGAAAGAGGACGGAGGAAGGAGGTGGCTCCGCCGGCAAATGGGGCCGCTGATTTAAACTTTATATTTTGTTTTTAAAATATTTTTAAACTAAACAAAATAATCTAAAAAACATATTTTCTTTACTTTATTTCAAATATTATCTAAAAAAAATAATTATCGACGCTTCATAGATTATCTAAAAAAATTATAATGTTACCTTTGAAACGTGATTATAAGATAATTATATTTTTTTATTTTTTTAAAAAATAATTTAAAGATATTTTTAGAGTTTTTAAAACAAATGATTAATAATTTACTAATTAAACTTTTTTAGTTAAAAAATATTTTTGTGATTTTTTTAAATTTAAACGTATTTTTAAAATTTTTAGAAATTTCTTAGAGGGGAAAATTGAGTTTTCTCCAAATAATAAAAATTTAAATATCTCGAATAAAGTATAAAATAATACAATAAAACCAAGCTATAGGCTTCCCATTTTTAAATATTTAAATAATTTATTTTTAAAATTGACTAAAATCCTATTAAATATTTTCTAAAATGTAAAATTAATAAAATAAATGTATATTTTGATTGATTAAATTAAAATTTTATTTTCGTATCATTTCTCATCCACAAAATTATTATTATTATTATTTCCATTTTCTTTAAAGAAAATCAAGGCCCATCTAAAGCCCACATAAGGCCCATCCTTTCACCATGGGCCTTGAAAAAATCTTCTCATGGCCCAAATATAGATCTCGAAATATCTCTACTTTGTTCGATTTAAAGTTACTACCCAGCCTAACAATTGAGATTCCAATAATATAGTTAATATAGAAATAAACAGGATAAGATGAGCAGATGAAAATCGACTCGGTGAGATTCGATGAGCCGAGAAACGCATCGTTGTGCAACAATTGAGATATGTGTCCGAGTAGTTTTGAGCATGAGCTACGATCAGGCAACAACACAGATCTGCAGCTATCGAGGAGGAAGAGACCACCAACTACTCTAATCACTATAGCAAACCATCCTTTTATCAATGGATAGCCCAATATTTGCTTATATTGATCGATGCTGTTTATAGCACAAAGGAAAGATAACGATGGAAAGATCATCAATCCTCGTAAGAATGGGTCTAGCCAAATAGGCACAACTGTTCATTAGGCTTTCCCACCGTGTTGGTGGGTGACTCGACTACGACTTCTGGTGGTGTCTCATTTATACGCACGCACAAAAATATTAAGTCTAATGAAGAGTCTAATTGATTCATTTTGTAAAGTCTTAGATTTAAATTGATTTAATTATTAATTTAACCCAAAGTTTAATGTATTTATTGATATTTGACCTTATTATTATTATTATATATATTAAAAACAAAATTTGGTATTTCAATCATATAATTTGAATAAAATATGCATTAAAATTATTAATTCCGTTTCTCTCACGTGTTTCGTAACACGTGTGAAGCTCTAGTAGTTTCAAACCAACATTTTTTTAATGGAATTCAAATGTTGAAATTTTGAGTGAGGAATTAATTAGTTATTTATTGAAATTTGGTGGCTAAAGTTGTATCTTATAGCTAATTAAACTCATTAAATAACATATTTTTTTCTTTTTAATTAGGGTTCAAAATAAAATTGAAAAACACGAAAACCAGTCCAAATTGATCAATTCAAGTGCGATAGTTATCGGTCTAAAACCCGATTAACCTAGACTATCAACTCAAACCATAAAGGTCTGGTTGGGTTAGATTGTTACAACCCTATAACAACCCAAACCCACCGCCAGCAAATATTGTTGGTTTTGGCTCGATATGTATCGGCATCAGCCTCACAGTTTAAAACGCGTCTATTAGGGAGAGGTTTCCACATTCTCGTAAGGAATGTTTTGTTCTCATTTCCAACCGATGTGGGACCTTAAAATTCAGTCCTCTTGTAGCCCAGCGTACACCACTTGGTGTGTGGCTTTGATACCATTTGTAACAACCCAAACCAACCACTAGCAGATATTGTCCATTTCTACACTCTGAGAAGGAATGCTTCATTCTCCTCTCCAACCGACGTGAGATCTCACAAACCCAATCCTACCCTACTCTACTTTTAAAATTATTACAAAAATTAAAAATATTTGACGTTTGTATCTAATGTTACTTATGCATTATGACTTATAAATATTTAATATTTGAGTTTTATGAGATTTTAGTTATTAACGTAACCTACCATGTACATAAATATACTTCTCACAAATAATTAAAAAGATAATATCCCGACAACCCAATCCAACTCAACTCAAAAGTAAAAGGTCGGATTGAGTTAAATTGTGAACTCTATTCGAGTTGCTCAAGTCACCAACCCAACCAACCCGAAATTTCATATTAGTCTAAAAGATTTCTCTGACTCAACCCAACCAGTATATGACATAGCTCTGTCACACGGTCCTTATTGGCTAGCTTATCATAATAGCTTCGAGATTTTATATATTTCCCTCAAAAGTTCTTTCTTGCCTAACAAAAAGAAAGAATATGACCAAAAAAGGAACCTATAAGTCTTAATATGAAAAACATGGGATTAAATTAATATATTTAACAAAAAATCCAAATGGGTATTGTTCTTATCGCTTCTTCTTTTGCCCTACGACAGATAATTCAACGAATAAATGTTTTTTGGAGCTGTTTTTGCTTCTCGGTACATCCTCACAGGCGTACAGTTACAAAGAATACAGAGAACGCTGAAAAGGGTAAAGGAGAACAATAATCGTTACCTGGATTTCGATTAGGGTTCGAAATCTGGATCTAACACTCAGATGGCTATGAACCCATGTTATTTATTCCTCACTTCTAAGCCTTTCTTAGTCATCATATTCTTAGGATCACTCTCGTTCGGATGTGGTTCAGGTTCATTCATATAACCTTTGTTTACTCGGATGTCACGAAATAGAACAAAGCGAGATATCCTTCTAGAAAGAAACGTTTATGTGATCTAATAATAAATTAATAAATAGGAAAAAAAAAAGGTCAAGAATTTCAAAATAAATTCATGGAAGCATTGTAAGATGCAATGAACTTAAGAAGTCGTCTCCACTGATTTTTAACACGAGGGCAATTTAAACGAATTTTTAAAATAATAATAGTAAATGGATTTTTTAAAATTAAATAATAATAATAATAATAATATTATTATTATTATTATTTTATTTATCTTGCTAGCTTTATAGGTATAGATAGGACCAACAAAATAAATAAATAAATAAATAAAAATGGGAGGCAAGTTGGGTTCATGAACATGGCAATAAATAAATAAATAAATAAATAAATAAAATTTTAATAGGGTGGTCCCATGTAATTGGGAATGAAGTGATGACGTCAGCAATCTCCCTAGATATGGCAAGTTGCTGATTTGGTTAGGTGGCTTTACACTCAAAAACTCTAGCTAACTTCACCTATCTAAATCCAAATGACCTCACGGTTATTACTCGTCTAAATTTACCTTAATTCTTCTATTCAGGTGGCTTTACTGTTAGAACGTCTTGTCGTTTTGTTGTATGTAGGACATCGTGCACGTGTATGCTCGTGAAAATCATGAAATAATGAAACAAAATTCCTTCTTTTTTTAGAGTCGGCGTGCACAAATGATTACATTCGAGAAACAACACGGTGCACTGAAGCGATAATGTCTAGAGGGTTTCGTGTACATGAAAGTGATGTACGTGAAACCACGAAGAAAAGAAAACCCTGATTATTTTTAATATTCAACATTTTAAAAATCTTTTTTTAGATAAGGATAAAATCATTCTCGATGGTTAACGTTATATGCTTCTTTGTAACAGTTCAAACTCATCATTAGTAGATACTATCTGTTTTTAGCTTGTTATGTGTCGTTGTCAGCCTCACGATTTTAAAATGCATCTACTAGGGAGAGATTCACGTTTTTTATGCCTAATTTTATGATATATGTTTTGAAAGTCTTTTTGGAGATCTCGGGAAAAGCCCATTTTGTAACGTTCACATATCATGTCTATGGCAGCAGTTTTAGTTTGGTTATGTTTTAGAAGTTGGATCGTTGTAAAAGCGAGCACGAATAATTTAATGGAAAAAAAAAAAAGGAAGTGGTTGGAGATACTTAATAATTAATTACATTAAAGGGAGATTTCTATGGACCCATTTCTTGCAATTTGTTTGAAATAAATTGCATTAACAAATATATATATATATATATATATATATATATATTTATTTATTTAAAGTTTTAAACCCACTTTATATCTACAAAAATTAATATTATTTATAAAAGTTTTATTATTGATTATTATTTATATATTTTCTAATTTTAATTTTAATAATGATAATCATCATTTTATATATATATATATATATATATATATATATCAACCATTCAAACTTGTCATAATATTGAACATTGACCAATATAATTGTTAGGCAATTAAAGATATAATTTATGTTTATTTCATTTAATAAAATTTTAAATTTTTATTTCTATAGATCGCTATATATATATTTTTTAATTTTAGGTCTAATAAATACTCGACCGACTTGTTTATTATTTAAAATAAAAAAAAGTTTATCGGTCTATTAGACACAAATTTTTTAATTTTAATAAAATTTTAAATATGTCATAAATCTATTAAAAATTCAAAGATTTATATTTTTATTTATAATTTAACCTATTTTTTTAAAATTAATATTCTCACTTGCGAAAAAATCGGTTATTCTGAATAAATAAATTGTGTAACTACAAAACTTTTTGCATGTATTGCTTTAGTATATTATCGACATACCATATATGTGATCACGAGATTTTAAGTCTCGTATGAATACTGTTTTATTATTTAAGGTATCTCAAAATATATAGTATAAAATTTGTGTAAAATTTAATATTTATTCATATTATTTATTTATTGTTTACTATTTTTCATAAATATTGATATTTCCATGGATATTACCGTAAAATTGAGATCTCGACATTGTTGAAAAAAGTCTGGGAGTATACGTGGAAGATAAGGTTGTAGTTTAGAGCTCGCCGTGTCTAGAAGAACTCCTCCCTAAAGTTCGAGGATGGTTGAGAACATATATATATTAATAAATCTAGAAATAAAATATTATTAATAAATTACGAAAAAAATGTAACCGGATTAGACATGTTCATATAATCCATTGAAACTCATCTCGAACGGGTGGAGAAGTGAGCACTAGTTAGTTAAATGAGGGAATGATATAAAAAAATTTGGAGAGATGAGAATCGAAATAGAGGGCAAGGACCAACGTCCTTGTTGGCACACTGCCCGATGTCTTGCTCTGGTACTGTTTGTAACAACCCAACTCCACCTTTAGTAAATATTGTTCGTCTTAGTCCGCTACATATCGTCATCAGCATTAGAGTTTTAAAACGCATCTACTAGGGAGAGGTTTCCACACCTTTATAAGGAATGTTTCGCTCCATTCTCCAACCGACGTGAGATTTTATAATCATTAACGACGATATATAACGGGCTAAAATGGACAATATCTATTAGTGGTGGGCTTGAGCTGTTATAGATGGAGACAAAGAAGACTTTTTCCGTTCCCGCTCTGCTTTGCAAACATGGTGCGTTTTTCAAGAGTGAATAACAAAAGGTTTATTCTCTAATTAACTTATAATAATCACACCATTTAATTAAAATAAGGTTGTTGATTAGATTCCTTCTTTAAATCAACTTGACATTAAATAAAATTCATTAATTAATTTATCTTCCTACGATCTAATAACTACTAAACTAATGCACTCGTGTCATGTCCAGCCTGTAAGCAATAGCCTAATTACGGGTGAATTCTCTACATATCTCGATGACGTGTTCCGCCACGTAGACGGCTAATTACTGATTCGGATAAATATTATTTATTTTATATAAAAAAAATCAAAATGGGACCCATGGCGCCGCCGGGCCTGTGGCGTTATTCGAGCACGTGACCCAGCTACTATTATATTTAATTATCTTTGTAAAAGTTAAATTATTTTTCATTCCCTCAATTTTAAATTATTTATAATTCCGCCCAAGCTTTTTAGTTTAATTATTTTGTGGATCGGGATTCTTCATTATTTCCGTTGCTATATATAGGGCTTAACTTTTCAAATTCGTTTTAAGCAGAGAAAGTTTCTTACGAGTTCCGATTCAATTTCCGGTGGAATTTCTTATGGAATCCTCTTATTTTTCGTTCTCCGATTCCGATTTCTCGACGGGATCTTCGTTCGGATCGGCCGAATCGTCGTTCTCATGGAGCGAATTTTTCCCGATTCCACTGCCGGATGAGTTTCTCGGAAATCAACCGGAATCGGAATCGAAAATTGCGGTGAAGGAAGAAATCGAAGTGAGTTCGATCGATTTCGCGGAGGAGAAACAGAGGAAGACGACGGCGGAGAAGAGTTACAGAGGAGTAAGGCGACGGCCATGGGGAAAATACGCGGCGGAGATTAGGGATTCAACGAGGCATGGAGTTAGGGTTTGGCTTGGAACATTTGATAGCGCGGAAGCCGCCGCGTTAGCGTATGATCAAGCGGCATTTTCAATGAGAGGAGCACTGGCGGTTCTGAATTTTCCGGTGGAAATGGTGAGGGAATCACTCCAGGATATTAAGTATCAACTGGAAGAAGGATGCTCGCCGGTGGTGGCTTTGAAGAGAAAACACTCTCTGAGAAGGAAGTCGGCGGCGGCGGCGGCGGTGGAGAAGAAGAAGATGAAGAAGAAGAAGAATATGGTGATTTTTGAAGATTTGGGAACAGAGTATTTGGAAGAACTGTTGATGCTAAGTTCATATGAGAGTTGTAGCATCAATCCCTTCTGAGATTCTGTTCTTCATCTTCAAAACAAATTTTCCTGTCGATAAATCCCTTTCATTAATTTTTTTTTTCAGCCATTTTTGATGTTCTTGTGAAGGTTTAGATTCCTTAGAGATGTTTAAGTATATGAAAGTAAAGTGAGGTTGTTCAAATTTTACTTCTCAATAATGTAATTTTATACATTAAATGAACTGTAATCTTAAATTTTGAATTTTGTTTATATTTGGTTGACCAACTTTCAATTTCAAAGTTCTAGAAGTGTTCAAAACAATTCGTGGTATGCGAGCCAAGACGCTCGATTTTGAAGGGAGTAGAATATGACGTTCCACATCGATTGGAGAGAAAAATGAATGTCAGTAAGAACGTTGGCACCTGAAGGGGTCCCACATAGATTATAGAGATAAACGAGTGCCAATGAAAACATTGAGACCTGAAGAGGTCCTACATCGATTAGAGAGAGAAACGAGTGCGGAAGCTAGGACCGGAAGGGATAGATTGTGAGATCCCACGTCGATTGTAGATGAAAACGATTGCCAGCGAGAACGCTAGGTCCCAAAGCATTTTTATAAGGAGAGGGGAATGAAATATTTTTTATAATGGTATGAAAACTTCTCAGAAAAAAGAAAAAAAAAAAGGATAAAATATCTGCTAGCTATGGCCTAAGACGGTTACCCTGAACTTTAAATTCAAAAATTACATATTTGTTTGAAATATAATTATATATCATATATTTATTTAATTAAATAATTATATTTTTTTTATTATTTGTACAATTAAAAATAATTTTTTTAATTATAAATTTGAAATTTCAGAAACTAATTTTTTTTAAAATAACTCTCATTTATTTAACAAAAACAATTTTAAATAATAATAAAAAAAACCAACAAAAAAACATACATGTTCTTTGTTTTGTTTTGTAAAGTTATTTAGAGACAATATTTCGAAATCCATAATTAATATAATAAAAATGAATTAATTAATTAATTTTTTATTCATTATGAAAAAGTGAAATAAAATGAAAAAAAATTAAAATAATTAGCTTCTCCAATAATGTGGCATTCATTTCATTGTATGTCCCATTATTTTGTCTCTTTCTAAAGAATCAATTAAACCACTCTTACAAGACATCTCATTTCATCATAAAATTCCAATTTAAATTATTCATATATAAAAATATATTATTAAATTTTCAAATAATTCATATATATATTTTTATATTAAAATACATTAAATTACAAGTTTAACCCTCGTGTCTCTTTAATACCGTCTCAGTCTTATATATCTCTAGACAAATTTTTAACTTTTTCAATTTTGTGTCGATTTTTTTCCAAAGCCACGGATTTAGTAGAGATAAAAGTGAAAGTTTACAATAGACGTGAAGTTTAATATTATATGGGTCTGACCCTTGTTCGATCTTATCCATAACTTTGCTCCTCAACTCCAGCCGCTCACTATAATAACTTGTTTCTTGGGTAACTTGAAACCCAGATGAAGTGGTTGAGTCATAGTAGCTCAGTAGCCATCCTATGTTTTTTAGTGCACTCGAAAGGCATGATTAGTTCCACAAATCTCACTGCACTTACCATGTGATACCCGAGTAAAGAAGGGGTACACGAATAAAATAAGACCACATCTGAATAAGAGCGATCATGAGGATAGACGAGAAAGTCACTATCTATACCAACAATCTGAACCTTCATGGTTAGTCGTGCTTTACTGAACAATTCTATGTTGGGTAACCTCTTGCATATGAGTGAGGACAAAACATGTTAAAACGAATGTCGAGGCCATCCAAATTTGTGTCAGACATGGGCGTTACAGACCATAATAAACTTCTAATCGGGCACCTAGGATTTATATGACATTAAATTAATATTTTTGCACATCTAAAACTGCCCCTCTCAGCCCATAGATTATGTTCTTAACCAAACATGTTAGGGAGAAAAGCTAGGGTTTTAAGGGAATCTTCAAGTGGTATTATATTATATATATTATATATATATAATATAATATAAGAATTAAATAAGTTATATAGTTGACAAATAACGTACGTCCATTTAAAAACATAACAAATATTAAAGATAAAGTTAGTTATAGAGATATTTAATAATTAATAAATCATTCCTCAACACACCATATCCAATCAAATTTAGTTTCGTCTACAAACATATAAAGATTTTTATTTTTATTTTTATTTCACACACTATTAATCATGATTGGATTTATATCTTTAAAAAATTAAATATTTATTTTCCTCCATTGAGTGGAACACGATAACGAGCGAGAGCGAGTTAGCAAAAATTTAAAGAATAAATAAGGTTGATAAAAGTTCTCGAATTATTCGGAGGCTAGTTGGAATATTCTCGTTTTAATCATATTTAATATCATGATTAAATTGAAATTATGATACTCGAGTAAAGAAGAACAAAAGAACCCGTGTTGGTTTGTGGGGACAGTGTCTGTTCTTGCAAGTAATTCAAGACAAATAGGTAACATGATTATATTGTATGAGATGACTTCGGGTGCCAAATTCAAATTCTAAATTCATGATCTAAATACTGAGTTAGGTCAAATTAAGACATTTTTTTGGACTCAATTGACTATTCAGATCGTAAATTTATTCAATAATAAACCTATAATTTTTTTTAGTTAGATTTGGTTTGGCTCGTTTATTTAAATTTTTATTTTTAATAAAAATAAAAAAATTAAATCCGTAAAATTCTATTTATATTTTCAAACATTTTAATTAAGATTTACTATTCAGTTTAAAATTTGAAAAATTATCTTTCAAATAGTTAAAATTATTTTAAATGGTGGTCGGAGAATAAATAATAAAAAAATAGTTTTGAAACTAAATAAAAATAAAATAAATATATACATATAATTATATTGTAAGTGAAAATCTATTTTTTTTAAATTAACCAATCATATATATATATATATATATTTATTTAGATTTATAAATTAATTTTGATATATATAAATATATATTGGTTTCAATATATATTGTTTGATTTCATTTGAGTTTGTTGAGATATGGCTTCCCGCGCTAAATCAGGAAGATTACGGATATTCATTCCTCCCCAATTTTTCTTATCTTCTTCAACCTCGATCCCATATTTAAACCCCTCTGCTCCGATCTTCAAACTCCACTCAATTCACAGTATCCAGGTTCGTGATTCTATCAAGCTCTGATTCGTATTTGTTTTTGCATGTTCTTCCATGAATTCAAACGTTTTCTTTTGTTTCTTTCGTTTTCTGGCTACTTTTCTGGTTTTCGTCTTACTTAATCAATGATCAACAAATAGATCGGTTGTTCTTTGCTCCTCCTGCCGTTTGTTTGTCATTCGCTTTGAATTTTGTCTAGGAGTACCAGTTGGATATACAAGCATGTTGTTCTTGTTCTTTTAAGATATATTTCTCGGATTGTTTGATTCCTGATCGGAGTTTTCGTAAATGGTTTTTTGTTTGTTTGTTTCACTGTTATGCAGACGAAGTGTATGATAAAAGTTACATGCGAGTAAATAATGGGAAAGGAGTCATTACAAGTACTAAATGCATTAGATGTTGCCAAAACACAATGGTACCATTTTACAGCAATCATTATTGCTGGAATGGGATTCTTCACTGATGCATATGATCTATTCTGTATATCTCTTGTCACTAAATTACTTGGAAGAATCTACTATCATGTTGATGGTGCGCCAAAGCCTGGATCATTGCCTCCAAACGTTGCTGCTGCTGTTAATGGTGTGGCGTTCTGTGGAACGTTGGCAGGGCAACTCTTCTTCGGCTGGTTGGGTGATAAAATGGGGCGAAAACGAGTCTATGGCGTAACTCTAATGCTGATGGTTGTTTGTTCCATAGGCTCTGGCCTCTCCTTTGGCCATAATTCACAATCTGTCATGACTACTTTATGCTTCTTTCGATTCTGGCTTGGGTTCGGTATTGGTGGCGATTACCCTCTTTCGGCAACGATCATGTCGGAATACTCGAATAAGAAGACTCGTGGTGCGTTCATTGCTGCTGTGTTTGCTATGCAGGGGTTTGGAATTTTGGGTGGAGGGATATTCGCCGTTTTCATCTCTATGGTATTTAAGGCCAAGTTTGATGCTCCAGCTTATGCAGTTGATCCTGTTGCCTCCACTGTGCCCCAAGCTGATTATATTTGGAGGATTATACTAATGGTTGGAGCTCTCCCTGCTGCTCTTACTTACTACTGGAGGATGAAAATGCCCGAAACTGCACGCTACACGGCGCTTGTAGCGAAAGATACAGCCCAAGCTGCATCAGACATGTCAAAAGTTTTGCATATGGATATCGAGGCAGAAACTCCAGAGCCTGCTCAGTGTCAGGGTCATGCTCGAAAGTGGGAACTAGAGTCTGCTCAGTGTCAGGGTCATGCTCGAAAGTGCGATCGTGACACTCAGCAGCTGCGAAATGCGTATGGATTGTTCTCGAAAGAGTTTCTTCGTTGTCATGGAACTCACTTACTTGGAACTGCAATTACTTGGTTTTTATTTGACATTGCATTCTACAGCCAGAACTTATTCCAGAAAGATATCTTCACCGCAATTGGATGGATTCCTCCGGCAGCCACCATGAATGCAGTTGAAGAAGTCTTCAGAATAGCAAGAGCTCAAACATTGATAGCCCTGTGCAGCACTGTGCCTGGCTACTGGTTCACAGTGGCTTTCATTGACAGAATTGGAAGATTTACCATTCAACTCATGGGATTCTTCTTCATGACAGTCTTCATGTTTGCTTTAGCCATTCCATACCATCACTGGACTTTGAAGGACAATCAAATAGGCTTCATAGTCCTCTACTCACTGACGTTCTTCTTCGCCAACTTCGGACCGAACGCAACCACTTTCGTCGTCCCAGCTGAAATCTTTCCAGCACGATTCCGTTCTACTTGCCATGGGATATCAGCAGCATCTGGGAAGCTCGGAGCTATGGTGGGTGCATTTGGTTTTCTATATTTGGCTCAAAGCCCGGACAAGAACAGAACCGATGCAGGATATCCTCCAGGCATTGGAGTCAAGAACTCGCTTCTTTTTCTGGGTGGACTTAACTTGTTGGGAATGTTGTTTACTTTTCTGGTGCCTGAAGCCAAGGGAAAATCATTGGAAGAGATGTCCGGCGAGAACGAAG